CTTGGAACCCAGCAAGCCTTTAAATTGCCTATACATATCTAGCTTCTCAAATGTTCTTTGGGCTGGTTTTAAATCTTAATGCTTTTCTCATTAATTAATGAGCTCAGTAAAATTTTTAAAACCTATTCATTTAACATCTGTATGAGAGACATTATTTGTACCTTTTTGAAAATTATGCTTTAACAGGCAATTCACTTCTGCCTCTGAAGATTTGGTTTTCTTGTCTGTTAAAAAAATGCATTAGGACTAGAGAATCTCTAAGAGCTCATTCTAAGGTATCTGAGCCCCTAAGCCACCTGGGCCCCTATTTCCCAGCTTCCCAGGGTCTCTGGAGAAAGGGCCATGTGAACTCTCCAGAGCTGAGATCAGTGCCTGCCAGCACCATTCCCTGCCATCCAGTCCCAGAGAGAGGTGGTCATTTCACACCAGAACACTGCTTGTTTGGACGTTCCCAGGAGCAAGACTATGTTGTTTCCACCTGATTTACTCCCATTCCCCCACCTTTACCTCTCCCAACCATTCCCTACTTCCCAATATAAACCTCAGAAATTCCTAGTTTCACACCCCAAGCTTTTAGGTTAATTCACCCCTGAGTGTTCACTTCTTTGACATCTTTAAATGGAAATTGGTGACATTTGGCCTCCACTGAGGCAGCAGGGGTCAGTTTCTCCCCTCACTCCCACTACTGCAAAGGGCTGGGTCAGGATTCCTCTCTAAACCTGCTTCCAGCTCTGACAGCTAATGAATCTGTCCTTCCAAATCTCCAGAGTCTTCTCTTCCTCTGATTTCCTGGCCTGAGGATGTTCAGACATCATACTTAAACTGAAAGTGCCTTGAGTTAGCCAGGGGTGAAGATATAAAGGATAGATGGAAGCATGGAACAAGAAAGGCAGGTCAAGAAATGTCAGTGGATACATTCAGCATTCCTTGAAATCCATAGCTTTTTGCCCTGGACTATAATTAATGACCAATATTTAGAAAAACTTTTCCATTTCTAGAGATGACTGATTTTGTTAACAGTTTTTTGCTGAGCCTTCCCGGGTCAGATCTCTGTTTGGCTGAGAATTACATCAGTGCTTACAGTGTTCATAAAATAAATATTTTTCTGTTTCTTTTCCTGGCTTGGCTGCCTGGACTGTCTGATAGATAATACTTCCCCATGGCTTGATGAGCTGCTGCTGAATTTCTCTTCATTTCTTTCTTCCCTCCAGTAACATCCCAGTCGGTTATTCATAATTTAATTACCCAGCATGGGGATGGAGTAATGTTTCCTAGGCTGCCTAGGGGTCAAAAGATTTTCCCTTCCTTCCTTCTAGGTTTTTTGCCTGGCCTAATAATTAAATTATAAGACAGATTAACAGGATAAAGTCAAACAAAAGTTTAATAACGTGTATACCTCCTGTATACATGGGAGAAACCCAGGGAAACTGAGTAACTCCCCAAGATGATCAGAGTCATCATGTTAAATACCATCTTCAGCTAAAGACAAAAGATATTGAGGGTGGGGAATCAATTATAGGAGGTGACCAAGAAAAGCACAGGAAATAGTGTAAGGTTGTTATGCAGACTTAAGTCCTTGCCTTCTCCATTGGTAAGAGTGTAAGAGTTTCTCGAGATTTAGAGTCACTCTTCTCTTCCTGGTACAGAGAAGGAGACATCCTCACACAGAGATTTCCCTTATAAATGTAAATATTGTTTACAAAAGGGAACTTCCACTCAGTTCTCAGAGCTTTTCCGCTGTCTGCTGTTTCTTAAAAATAATTGGCCTAAAATAATCCTTTTGCCAAAGAGGCATATGTTAGGATGACAGATTCTGCTCCCCTTCAGTCCTGCCTTTGAAACTTCAAACAAGAAGTTTCACAATCCAGAAGCTAAACTGATAGATTGCTCCATATCTCATTAAATCTGTCTCAGTCTTGAGAATAGGTCAGTTCAGTTGAATAGTTGTGTCTCATTTCAGGAGGTGGTCTCGTATGTGGGCTCCCCAAATTAGACCTATATAATGTGAGAAATGAGGTATTTAATAAGGTTTCTGTGGAAACAAAAGAAAAACAAAGGTTAATGATTACAGCAGACTGAAAACCCAGTCTGAGTTCTGAGGACAGACTGTCGAGAAGATTTCTAGATGGGGTCAAAGCATCTTTTGTAGTTTGAATGTCTCTGATGATGTCATCACACGTTCGGGTAAAGTTTCTGAGTGGCACACACAACGACAAACACAAAAATTGTCTAAACATAAGCTGTTATGTTGATTGCTCTGAAGTTCATATCAAGTCATTCACATTTAGGTTGCAGGGTTTTAGGGAAAGGGGCAGCTTATGTTTGTAGTGATTTCAAGTCAAAAGGGTAAAAGAATTGGAAATATTAGTTTGGAGAGGTATAGCCAGATATTGGAGGAAACTAGAAGAATTCAGGATTCAGTCCAGTTTACAGGTAAATAACAAAACCTCACTATATCTGGTTTTGTTTTTTGTTTTTTGTTTTTTGTTTTTCCCATAGCAGAGGCACTGGGTATTAAACCCAGGACCTCCTGCACGCCAAGCATGCGCTCTACCACTGAGCTATACCCCTCATCCTTCGCACTGGAATCTCATATACACAAAAGTGTCTTACTGAAATATAATTTTTCTCTCTAAAATCACCCTCATTTCTACCAAAGACAGTCAAATTAAGTCTAATTTCTTTGCAAAATACATCTAGTTCCAAAAAAATTTGATTATTTATACAAGTATAGCAAGAATAGCAATTGATCAGAGAGGCTCATTTAAATCTGTTTTGCTGAAACTTTGTTTTTTGCTTTTTGTTTTTGGTGGGGAAGGTAATTAGGTTATTTATTTATATTTAGTTATTCTTAGAGGACGTACTGGGGGTTGGACACAGGACTGCATGTGTGCTAAGCATGCAGTCTACCACTTGAGCTACACCCTCCCCCCTGGAACTTTTCTTAAAAAACAAACAAACCAAAAAAACAGGTTGAACTTTAAAACCTATTGAGGCCAGGAAACCAAGTTAAGGACTTGCCATCAGATATATCCTGCGATACTGATAGATTTCGATGAATTCCTCTTTTCAATTCCTGAGCTTCCTGCACCTGCCAGGAAGTGACTTCCCTTATTCACTTGGTTAGGCTGCTAGGAATTCTGTAAACAAAGGCAAGCCAATATTTCCAAGGGATTTTATTGGCTTCATAAAGTCAGCCTTAGTTCCTTAAAGCTATCTGGTCATATCTGAGTCTATACACAGTCTCAAATCTGACATCTTAGTCAAAGCCTTGATAATATAGTCAGTGTTTCCAATAGTGTCCTCTTACAAGAACAAATTTTTATTGAACTTATGCAAATAAATATATGACTATGAAAGTAAGAATACTCATTGAGAGTTTCCAAATTCTGGGGCAACTGGGAAGGGAGAAAAAGATAAATGTGTCATCTTTGTTGGTAGCTTAAGATAAAAGGGGGAAAGTTTTCCTCAAATTTGGAAAAAACTAAAACTTTTTTAAAAATTGGTGATGTTTCAAATAAAATATCATAGCAATTGTAATCATCCTCATTGGTTTATTCTGTCCCACCTTATTAATTCTTATTCTGCTGGAATCCAGTTTGTCCCTTAGTTCAGTTTTATGACCTTGATATTATCAGAAATATGTATTCTAGAGTACTTGTTTGAGTCCTTTCCATGAATCTCTCTGAAGATGACATGTATTTGCAAAAGCATCAAAGTAAAAGAGTAACTCTGTAAATGACAAAGACTTTAAAATGGCCATGGCTAAAGATCTCATGAAACTTCATTGTAATGCAGTTGACAAGGAAATTTTCTTATTTCTGTGACACTTCAAGGTAATAACTAGAATTAAAAGTGATAACATTCCAGGACATATCAGATTGCATATAATTTCTGGAACACTTATATTCATAACAGCCACATAAATATAACCTAAGGAGATTTAGTATCATTTATTTGGCAATGCTTCCTATGTAATCCAACATATCAAACAAACCTAATTAATTCAGCATCTCTCCTTGTAGAGGAGACATTCTTTTGAGACATTCCAGAGGCCCTCTGGGAAGTCCCAAAGTTAGTCTGAGGTCAAAAGACTACATTTAGATTTTAATTTTGGGAAATTTGTCAAAAATATCAACAGGTTTGGACTCTTGACTAAATAAGATCACAGATCATCTTGAAACAATACTTAAATCATCTATTTGACAAAGTGATGTTAAAGTATTTCAAAAGCAAATGCAGAAGGTTACATAGTTGTTAACAAAACTTTACTCTTAACACTGAGAAGATTCAGTTATCAAAGATCTTATTGAGACTACATGAAGCACAAGAAATTATTTTGATAGAACATAGAACTTCTGTTTTTTAGCCAGATTACTTAATAGGTAAAGAAAAACTTTTCACAATCTCTTATCAGGAGCATACCAACAATCCAGTAAAACTTTGTCCTTTCAGTAGATTAAAAAAGAAATTCAAGATTTAGTTTTATTTATTTTAAAAACCCTTTTAATAACAATTCAATTTTAGCCAACTTGATTAGACAAGATAAAATCCTTCTCTCTCTCTCTTTTTCTCTAATATATATATATATTATATATATTATAATATATATAATATTATAGGAGATATATATATATATATATATATATCTCCTTAATTTGTCCTCTGCTTCTCTGTTTTCCTCATTTCATTCTAAAATAGCCAGTTTTACTTTAGGACAAATTTACTTTCTTTTCTGTTAACAAAAAAGCACGTCCATATCTCATACCTTTTCTTAGCCAAAAACACATCCTACTTTCCTTATGCACATAATTGTTCCCCTTATTATTTCTAATAGTTTATATATAGTTGACCCTTGAACAACATGAATTTGAACTGCATGAGTCCACTAACGTGCAGATTTTTTCAATAAATATGTACTACAGTACTACATGATCTGAGTTGGTAATTCCATTGGACAGACCCCCTTCCCCCATTTCAGTATGTGGGGTGTTTTTTTCTTCTGTTGAGCTGATCAGTTTTCCCAATGAGGAACTATCCATTATCCATGTATTTGAGGGGACGATGGGTAGGATATAATGCTGCCTTCTAAGTTTGGTAGTGGGCTAAGGGAGTGCATCTATTCAGTATGTAAACTTTCACTGTCTTTCTGATTGCTAGGTGGTACTCCCTCCCTTAGCTATGCCTGAGTCCCTGAGCCCAGAGTCCCTTTGGGTCAATGTCTTCAGAGAATAGACCTCCACTGTTCATCCTGGAATAAGTTAAGAGTGGTTACCAGGCTGCGTAGGAGTGGGGAAAAGGAAATTTATATAGAGGCTTTCAACCAATCCTTCCACTTCAGGCTTCCTAATACCCACATTCAGAGCTACTTATTGCCTACAGTTTTTTAGTTTTTCTGAAATGGTACCACATCATTTGCCTTGCACCTCAGTTTTCCCTTGCCTAACTTCTATTCCAGTTTTCTCTACTCTGCTAAGTCATTTCCCTATCACTAGTCCATCAGTTTTCTAGCTTCTAGCCATTCTCTTTGCCCTTGTGTATTGATGCTCTTTTCCCCCTTTTACATCACACAGTAGGACTCTAAGCGTGATCAGAAGGAAATGCATATGTTCAATCCACCATGTTTAATTAGAAGTTATTAACCTATTATAGAGATGGAGAAGCTGAGGCTCAGGGAAGGATGATGACTTACCCCAGGTCATATTACACAACCAAGCTAGAAATAAAATCTCTAGTCTCCAGGTGAATGTTCTTTGTGAAAGAACCAAAAAGGTATGAAAACAGGAGGAATGCACACATTTAGTAGCGTGCTTTGGGGATGCGGGAATATATAAAAGCAGAGTACTGATGAGAGTGGCCTGAGAGGAAATGAAAAGAGGTGGTTAGGAAAAAAGGAAAGTTTTTCATCCTTGGGTTTTCCTACATCTTGTGTTTCACTGTCTTCAAATTCCTTCAAGATATTTATTATTTATAAGAATCTTTCTATGTGTTTACCACTCTTCTTTTTCAAGCCAGACTCCTCACTGTTTGTATCCTATACTCTATTATTTCCCAGAAATATATGGTGTTTTCAAAATATGATTCTACTCAGATTGCCCATAGTCTCAGATGTTTGCAATGACTCCCCACTACCTATGAGGTAAAATTCAAATCCCCTCATTATTTCAATAATTCAAATTCCTGAACTGTTTGAGGAGAAGGGTTTATAGGGGAACAGTGGATAAGGAATAACTTGACAGAAGAAGGGACAATAAGCACTGATGACAAGGAGGAGACATTAAATATGACCGAGGTAAGCTTGGATGACGAGGGCGAATTAGAACAGGAAAGTCAGAGACGTTGATGAGCATGGTTTTGAACGTGAAGATGTAGATATGGCGATATGAGAACCATGTGGAAATGTCTAGCAGACATATGGAAATAGGTAGTGAAAGGTGTAGCCATGTGTCACAAGATCTCAGGACTGGCAAGTTCTTACATGCTTCCCACTCCAGTGCTGGAAGGAGTGAAAGAATATGATAGCTCCAAGGGTCACCAAACTACTTAAGCCCACCCAAATATCTCCATCCTAAACAGGTTTCCTTTGATTTGATGACTCTTTAGAAAATCTCTTTAGGATTGGGATATTTGGGTGGGTTTAAGTAGGAGAGGAAAAAGAATAAGAGGGGATAGGTATATTAATATTTCTAATCAATAAAACACTCTTTTGTTGTTGTTAAAACTGAAGCATACCTAAAACATAATTGCCTGATATCTGCAGTGATACTGATAACTATATTAGTTTCCTGTTGCTACTGTAACAAATTATCATAAATTCAGTGCCTTAAAGCAACACAAACTTACTGTCTTATAGTTCTGGAGGTTAGAAATCTAAAATCAGTCTCACTGGGCTAACGTCATGTGTCAGCAGAGCTGGTTCCTTCTGAGGCTGTAGGGGAGAATCTATTTCTATGCCTTTATGAGCTTCTAAATGCTGCCTGTATTCCTTGACTCATGGCCTCTTCCTCTATCTTCAGAGCTCATCACTTCAATCTCTGATTGTATCCTTAAAATTTTTTTTTCTGACTTTAACCCTCGTATAAGGACCCTTGTGATTACATTGGTCCATTTGGATAATCCAGGATAATCTCCTCATTTCAAGATTCTTAAATTAATTACATCTGAAAAGTCCCTTTAGCCACGTAAAGTATTATATACTTTATATATTACAAACATATTATAGGTTCTGGAGATTAGGACATGGATATCTTTGGGGAACCATTATTCAGCCTACTACAATAACTTTCCGGTAACACTCAGAACCCTTAGTTCTTGTCAACCTACGGTCTACATATATATTGATATCAATGAATGAGTGAATGAATGAGCCAAAACCTTCGAATGATTCAACAAATATTTATTATTGGGTCCATTATCTGATAGGTCATGTTTCAAACTATCTGCAAAGGAGGTCCAGAAACCAGTGCTTATTCTATAAACTTGATCCTGCGTTGGTCTCAGAGCAAATTCTCTGTCAATATTAAAATTGCAGCCAATTCACTGATTACTATGGAATTAAGACAAGAGAAGAGAAGTCTTTTCATTTTTGGTTTCATCATAACGTTTCTTTGTTATAAGTATCTGGATACAAGAAAGGTAAACAGAGCAACAACACAGACATAGCCCAATCTGAACAACTGCTCTTGGCCAAGGGAATCATTTGGTAGCCCTGAGGGAGAGACTCTGCAAATGCCGTCTGAAGCAGCCCCTCTGGGTGAGCACCCCTCCTGCCTGCCCCAGGCAGCTTGGGTTCCACTGTAGGTCCCAGGCCCACATGTGTGGCCTGCCTTCCGTGTGTGCTATGAGTTTGACCCTGGTGTTGGGGTGCCTGCCCTCCCTGTAGCCTGAGTGCCTGACCCTGCTGTGGCCTTTGGGATTGCCCCCCGTGTGTGCTGTGAGTTTGACCCTGGTGTTGGGGTGCCTGCCCTCCCTGTAGCC